AGGCCGGGGCCGAGCGGGGCTGCCAGCGCCGGGCACGGGGGGCGCAGGCCGGGCCGGAGCTGAGGAGAGAGCACCGCGGTCTGGGCCCTACCCCGCCTCCCCCGCAGCGGTGGGGTTTGGGGCTTCCAGCCCCTCGCTGCCATTTTCCTTCTCCAGGGGGAGCGGAGATGCCGCTCGCCCGCAGCCGCCTGGGGCTGCTGCTCCTCGGGGCGCTCCTCACCTTCCTCCTCTACCTCCTGCACCCTGACGCAGGGAAGCGGGGCCGGCCGGCGGCCAACGCCACCGCACGGACGGGAATGGCTGCGGGAGAGCCCCCCGTCTTCTACAGGGAGGTTTCTGCAGGGCCCCAGGCCGGCGGCACTGCCAGCCCCGGGAGGTGGGTCAGCCCGCCGGCTCATGTAGCAGAGGAAGGTGGGGGGTGACAGGCCCTGGGGATCGGTCCCCCACCAGCCCTCATGGCCACGGGTACGGCGTCTTCCCTGAACCCCCTTCCCACCTGTCTTCCCCACCGCAGGCCCGATGTCCTGTTCCTGCATGGCCAGGCGTTCACCTCCAAGACGTGGGAGGCCTTGGGCACGCTGGCGCTGCTCGCCGGAGAAGGCTACCGTGCGGTCGCAATAGATCTGCCCGGTAGGACTATGGCACTGCGCTTAAGTTGATCCCTCTGGGCAGCTCCAGTCTCTCACCTCAGCCACTGCTGGGCCTTGGACCTCTTTAGGCAGCTAGCAGCGGTCCTGGGGGCAGCGTGCCTGGGGTTTGGCTTTGCCCTGGGGCATCGACCTCCATGGCCACCCAGAACCTTTGGCTGGGGTTGGCTCGGTCCAGCTGGCATGTGGCTGTGGCTGTACAACTGCTGGGGCTTGATCGGGTGCCCAAGTTTTGCCAAGCCAGCTGAGCCTCGGGGTGAGAGACCATTGCAGGCTGCATAATCCCCCCTGCCCCGTGCCCACCCTGTGCCCTCTGCCCCATGCCAGGCTATGGGGATTCACCCCCAGCGGAGATGGTGGCCACAGCACAGGGCCGAGTGGCTTTCCTGGACCGTGTCCTCCAGGAGCTGGGCATGCGGAGGCCCGTTCTCATCAGCCCCTCCATGAGTGGCCGCTTTGCCTTGCCCTTCCTCCTGGCACAAGGGGACCGGCTGGCCGGCTTCGTGCCTATTGCGCCCGTGGGCACCAAGGACTACGCTGCTGAGCAGTACCACCGGGTCCAGGTGAGGTGGGTTGTGGGGCTCCTGGGGGGTCCCTGAGTGCTGGCGAGCCTTGTGGGCCAGCTGGATGGAGGGTGGCCCTGTTCTGGGGTGAGTGAGGGGGACCTGTGCCTCTCCCAGCTCATGGTGGGGGCTGGCACCTGCCTTCCCTCAGCTTTGCAGCCCCCGCGGTGATGGATGGAGGTGGGCACAGCCCAGGGAAGCGTGGTGGCCATTTCCCCCTCTGACAACTGCTCTGGTTTTCTCTCTCCCCTTACCCAGACGCCCACCCTGATCCTGTACGGTGACCGTGATGCAAGCCTGGGTCCCCAGGCCCTGCAGAGCCTCCGGCACCTCCCCAGGCACCGCGTGGCCGTGGTGCCCGATGCCGGCCATGCCTGCTACCTGGACAAGCCAGAGGACTTCCACCGGGCCCTGCTGGGCTTCCTGCGCCAGCTGAAGTGAGCGCTGCCTCGTCCCCTCTGCCGAGCAGAGGACAGGGGTCCAGGGCGTCCCGTGAGACTGGGAGGCACAGGTGGCTGGCGTGAGGGATGCTGTTCTCTTTTGGGGTGTCCCCAGGGTGGCAGGGGGGACAGGACAGGGTGTCATCTGTCACCAGGCCAATAAACTGATGCTGCTCTTGGTTTCTGCATGTGTCCCCAAGCGCCGCGGGGCTCTCCGGGGCTCCGGCCCCATCTCTCTGCCTCTAGCGTGGGGCAGGAGGGTGCCCGGCCCACCCCCTGCCTGCCTCCTGCCCACCTTCCCCTTGCCTTACCCCCCAGCCCCGGCTTTCAGCCCATCCGGTGCCCCCCGTTCCTCCCTTGCCCGCCCCCTGCCCGCTTCCTGCCCGCTGCCGGCTGCGGGGCGGGCCGGGG